AAACATAAAAACGTAATTAGTTCAAATCTGGAACAAATATAAATATTATAATCATTTCTTATAAATACCATTTCCTAATGTAATTTTCAAAGATAATAAAGATCATAATGCAAAATAACTAAATTTATCAAAAGTAACAGGCTTTATGTTTCTTAAACTATGTGCATTTATGAAAGTTCTTGAGAAGTTTCAAAACTTTTTAACCAATAGTTTTATTGTTGAAATGACATATAGCAAGCCTTGCACTGGCTACTAAGAAAGTTAGTAGCCGGTAGTCATCGGGTTAACTGATGGAACTTCATTGTTAAGCCTTGTTTGGATTAGGTCTTATTAGGTAAGTTGCCAAGTCTGGAATTTAGCTTTTTTTAAAAAAAAAAAAGTCACTTTAATTTTTGGAGAACTACGGGTTGCTGGCTTGTGTTATTCTGAGGTCACATTTTTTTTTTTGTAAAAGTTGACTTCAACATACAGTAAAATGGTTATAGGAGTGTTTTCAGTGAGTTACTGGGTTAATGAATAGCCCACATCATTACTATTATAGAATCATCCAATCCCAACTTCTATTCAGTTAATAACACACCTACAATTATGAACTTTCTCGACACATTCTATATCACAATTGAGCCATGCAAATTGCCATTTTGAGGGTAAGTCATAAAGATGAGTTTTGAAGAGCAGTGCTGCTTGTTTTTCTCATGAGACTTGACAATATTACTTATCAGCCTAACTAACTACTTGATTGAGTAAAGAAAATCACAGAAAAATGTAAAAAAAAAATATATAAATGAATTTAAAATGGGTTTAATAATTATTCAAATTATTAAATGATACATGATTAACAATTCAGAAAACATTTGGCTTGCTTATAACTTATGTTTATTGTATGTCGGTTATCATAAACATGGCAAAACTGTGTCCACTGATTTTCAAATGAAAGCAAAGATAAAACTTAATTTTTTAATTGCTACATGTAATTAAAACTAGTTTTGATACTTAGATATTTGAAAATAAAATATCACACATAAGATATATACATATTAATACAATATATCTACATATATTTTAACATTTAACAGTTGCAGTTAATTTTAGAGAAGAATAAAATGTTAATGGTAGCATTTTTTTTATTTGGTTTTGGTAAAAAATAACAAGCAACCATTTGCTAGTACCTTTAAAGTTAGATTGAAGCCTGAAATGTGAAAAATTACAAACTTCTTTTAATTTTTTTATGCAGCTGAACTTTATTTTCCATTCATGTAATTTTATGAGTGAAAAAAACTTAACATATTTAACCCTTTCACTACAGATGGGATGTATATTTCCCAGTGCTCACACCCAATCACACTGCAGCTGAGACAAATGTTTCCCATTGACACTCAAAATTGCCGCACGTGACATATGGGAGTAAAATGAGTTGGAAAGTATTTATTGCATCCCATCTAATATTGATGTATGGTTTCCTTCAGTGTTTTCCACTCATCCATTCAGTAATCAACAAGATGCTTAAATGGAATGTACAATAACTGCATGCTGATCATGCCTGCATCTCTAGAGTGGCAAGTAGTAACCCTAATTACTGTGTAAATATGCTTGATGCATTTTACTCAGATAGCTAAGAAGATAGTGAAAGTGAGTCAAGTGGTGTTCAACTGCATGAAGATGAAGAGCCAAGAGGATGCTAGCTCTCCATCTAGTGATGATAGTCAAGATGATGAATCTGGACCTTACATAAACAGCTTCGATAATGGGAAACATTAGTTCAAGTTGCAGTGTGAGGGGGTAGGAGCACTAGGAAATATACCTCCCAGCTGCAATGAATCACTTAAGTACATAAAGTTTTTTGGACTTTGCAGCTAGAGTCATGCCTGTGATATGTTTATCGTTCTCTCTCAAGCTCACTTGTATAGTAATAACACAAGTTAGTTAGGTAGCTCCATTATCCAATTTGTGCAGGAAATAAGCTTTATACCAGGGTGTTTAGATATTAACTGTATTCTCAGATTTTATTCATTTAGCAATAACACTTTTCTTAAGATGGCACATACACCTGCCTGGTGTGTCCTCGTGTTGTTTTTGGAATATCTCATTTCATTCATTTATGAAGACATCTTAGTGGAAATGGGCAACCCACCTTCCACATCCTCTCTTTCACAAAGTGTCAGTGTTTGTCTCTATCGTTTTATACTATATTATTTATAACCAATAGAAAAGCAAAGTTTTATTCTATCAAATGATGTATTGCATTGAATTTTTTTAAGTACAGGGTATTGTTTGTTTCATCTTCAGTTTGAAAGTTTCTGTTTCAGTATTTAGATCAGAAGTTTTGGGGATTATTTTAAGGCTTTTATGCTATAGTTAGAAAACCAGTTAAATTATGATAATTATAGGACATTGTTTGCTTTGTGCATATTATTATAATGCATTCTTAGGTCCATTATTTAAATAAATGAAAATTATTTTGTGTACTAGTACCATTAATATGAAAAAGTAGGCTTAGATTTTATCGGCAACCAACAGCAAAAAAAAATCAAGAGGTCAAACGTAAATACTACATTTCATGTTTTTCATGTATATTCTTTATATATACACCTGGAAAAAAGTTAAGCACCCCCAAATATTTTTCAGGATTGCTTATTGAAAATAAGGTTTAATTTTCATGATGTTGAGCAATGTTCATAATTTCAAACATAATTAAAAGGATG